TGAACTGTCAAAGGCAGTAACTTTGTAAATAAGGGAGAGCGCCGCTTTTTTCTTTCGGATTCGTAATATACGCATCAAAATACCTAAGTACACTCAAAATGAAATTTTACCAACCTTTACTACTACCCAGAACCCACACACAAATTATCCCTGTTACAATATATTAATATATGTGATGGAATCGGCCAGTACTCAATAAAAGTCCATAAGGTAGGTATCCAAGAAACACTTTATCGTGAGATTTCACATAACCGCAACACGTGTTTCGCTATACAATAACTTCTTCAGACGTGTCTGTGCTCACGCCTGAAAAAGCTATTGTATAGCGAAACACGTGTTGCATTTTTGTAACACTGTTTAGTGAAAATCTCGCAATGAATTGTATTCCTTGAATATGATTCAAATATCATAATCTTGATCAATACTGGACTTTGATGTCATATCTTGCTAAGAAATACCCACATTGTCCTGTTATCAGAAAAAAATAAATTCGTCTTCAGAAATTAATCTTTGTTGTAACAAAGTTTATCTAGTTTTTTCATTCAATTTTGAAACATAATCAGATTCCCAGTGTACGAACATTAGTATGTCAGTAATCGAATAGAAGAATTCTCATTACACTCGTATTCCTTTTTTAACAAATTTGATTTTTGTTTGATAATTTTTCCCACCAAGAAATTTGCCGCAGATAGTTCGAAACGGATTTGTCTTCGAACATATTGTGAAATAGTTTTTATATTTCTGAAGACTATCCAAATCCAAGATAGAGTAAAACAAAACAAAACCGAAGCGTGATATTCACGTGATCGCCCAGTGTCAGATGGAAAGGGCAGCGTCATTGGTGAATTCGCCTTTTTGGTACGAGTTCGGTACCAGCACAGGGTTGTAATCAGTCGTTTGTGTGTTTGTGTGGCGTGCGTTATAGTATATTGTTTAAAATTGTTTTCCAAGATGTCCAGTACAGACACTGCTGATGACACTGTGAGCTATCCTCTGAGTCCAGCCAGGAAACGATCCAAAAAA